TTTATTATGTATAGAGTGTGTATCCAAAGAAAGGCGCAAGAAAAGCCAAAAATGAAGGCTGCAGCTTTTGTGCTACTCTCCCTCCTCCTCCTTCTTCCTCCTCTTCTAATTTCTTCTACTTTTTTGAAGAGCTTTGTTTCTTCAGTGGTGTTAATTATACTGGTTCTTGGTTTTGGAGTTTTTTATATATTTAATATTCTGTGGTTAAAGTCAGCTCAAAGACTTCGATGGAAGCTTCAGAAACAAGGAATTAATGGACCTAAACCATCTCTTTTATATGGAAATGTTCCTGAAATGCAGAAGATTCAAGCTGCTTCTCTTAAAGCTCCAGCCAACTATGATGAATTTGTGGCACATGATTATACCTCTTCTCTCTTCCCCTACTTTGAACAATGGCGAAAACTCTACGGTAATTAGATCTTTTTTATTACACTCCATCCTTTTATTCTTGGGAACCTTAGATTAACAGTAAAGTTAACTTTATATGATGTTTAAGTCATGCGTTTGAGTCGTAAAAATAATCAATAATACTTATATTAGAATAGATTATCTATGTTACATCTTTGAAGTGCGACCCTTTTCATTCTTTGGTTTCCGGGAAGATTCTTCTTTTTTTCTTATTCTTCTACTTTAGGGCTTGATTGATGGAAAGTTTTACGTCATTCCACGTGACTGATGCACATCATAAAGAAAAAGAACAAGGAAAAGATAACCGACCTTCCTGTCCAAAACAAAATAAAATAAAAAAAAGAGAGAAAAAAAGGAAAGATAGCAATAATTAGCTTGAAAGAAAGGAAAAAATGGATTGTTTCTGTACTTCAAAACTTCCAGGCTGTCACCAAGTATCGTGTCTTTAATGGAAGGAAAAAGGATTCTAAATTTTGTCCATTTTTTCTTTATTTTTATAAGAGAGTGCTTGCATAAAATCATGAGGAAAAAAATGAAGACAGAAATTCTTAACTAAACTTCAATTTGTTCCACTAAGATTTTGTATACAATTATGTTAGCACTTGAGTAGGCTTAGCCTTTCCATAGAGAAACTTTTAAGCAGCTGAAGGACTTTAATTCTCTCTCTCTCTCTTTTTTTTTTTTGCTAACAAAAATTAAACTTTTTTTATCAAAAGGCAGTAGCACAAATAGCATAGTCATTATAGATATTTTTGTATATAGCAAAAATAGTCCCTAAGTTAGCATGCTATATACTGTGAACTAAAAGATCTTAAAGCATTAAAAACTGTGATCAGAGTGATGTGCTGGCATCTTTGCTACTAGTTTGAATTATTATCTCTTATTGGTAGTACTTGCAGATCCAAAAAGAAAAAGAGAAAGAGAAAAAAAAAAAAGCAAGAAAAAGAGTAAAATCCAAAGCTTTAGCGAGAATGATTTCATCATATGCACCAATTGATGTCTTCTTGTGATTATTAAATTTTGGCCCTCTTGGCATTTTTCTATTCATCTCTTATTATTCAATACTTAATACAGTAACAAGGAAAATGGTTGTCATCACATACTTTTGCAGCTTTCTTTCACAATTTAATTTGAAGAATAAATATAAGTAGCCACACTAAATAGCTTAAACTAAATATAGCTGGGCGAGTGTCTATTATATATATGCATATATAATCTTTGTGTAAAATGCGTAATAAGCATGTATAATTAGTGTATAATCTATATATACGGTCTATCTATTTGTATGAAGATCCCATTTAATTTCTTCTAGATGCGCATGGCACATTTGGGTTGATGACAATATAAGTCATTTTCATTTACTTTACCCCGGGGAAATAATTAAGAAGGCATGGGTTAGACAACTGTATATTCCTAAGGCGTTATATATAGTGATTGAATTAGACATACATTCCAATTGCGGACTGCATTATTGTTATGTTAAAATATGCAAACGACAATGAGATGATCGTATTATTTAATACTGTGGATCTATAATTGATTGCCACCAATATTAAATATTTTAAAGACATTTAAGTATTTGTCGGGATTGGACGGGAGAAAAGAACGTAACATATCAAATATTTTAGAAATATAAGAACGTAACATATCAAATATTTTATCCTGTCTTACCTTTATTACGCATTTTTTAAAATTGTGTTTACATTCTTCTACATTTGTCCGTATTTTTCTCATCATTTCTATATACGTATTAACAAAAAGTACTTTGGGCTCTTCCTTAATTCTAAAAATATTTTTAAAAAATCAAAATATCTTATTTAAATACTACTATTAAACTTTAACTCTAACTAGATCCACTGGTTGGAAGTCAATGCATGATCCCAGTAATTTAATGAAGCAAGCTTATACTGAAGTTTTGACCAAGCTGTGGTACATGTAATTAATATCTTCAGTAAATATAAGTCAGATTTTTGGCCATTGGCCACGTGATATCCTTAATCCACGGACAGATCTAGTCACTAGATCTCTAAGATTAATGGACTAATAAATTGTAGCTAAAGTAGGATAGAAATTAACATCAAATCGAAGAGAATATGGCGTGCAAAATTTTACATGATCAAATATATTTGAAATAAAAATATCAACTTATTACTGTAATGTTCAATTAGCATGTTAGATATGTTAAAAAGAGTTACATTTTCATGTTGGTGCAAATTAAGTTTATCCATAAAAAATCTAGTCGAAAGTAGGTCTAGTGACCTGCCTAATGTAAGGTCAAAATTTGAGGACCTTTCCTATTTTGGTGTTATTATTAAATCAGACTTTCCTTTCAATGTGACAATTGACTAGATTGGTGGGTCATAGTTAAAAGACACATGTAAGATTGAGTACAACATTCCTCATTTACAAGTTGTCCAATTGAGGTAGGAGTTAGAGCTAGAATAGAGATTTAGGGAACACATGGACAGTAATAGTGTAACAACATGTGCTTCTTCACTGTTACTACTTTTGGCATGTACTTGTATAGTTGCATTAGAGTTGTGACACGAAGGGTGGACTACCTCTCATATAGTTGTTGGCCTTACCCACCCCCTCGTTGCTTTTGACGAAGCTGAAAGTTCATGAGCAAGTGAATGAACGAGCCATGTTCCTAAAAGAAAATGTCCCTCTTTGTTTTCTTTGCGGGTCAAAGAGAAGGATTAACAATCTTCTAGATTGACAAATTTCTGAAGGAGTGCACATGATTTCTTAAGCGCATACCACATGCGACTGGAAAAAGAAATTAAAAAGCTTTATAAGGTATATATTACACAAACTCATATGGTACGCGCGTTTTGGGTGCGCTCGATGATAGCACAGCCCGAGGGACAAATCCGTGAGTTCTACTACGCCATAGAGAACAATAGTTGCCTTGGGATTAGGTTATGACAGAGCTCTTTTATGAATTTTAACCATTAGTGTTAGACAAGTTTCATTTCATATGTTAGTTAAAAATTCAAATCATTTATCCGAGGCTAATAACCTCAATGCCTACTTCAAATTGAAATAATCTGCGTAACTGATTTTTGTCGCCCTTATTTTATGTACTGAGTTTTTTGCTTGTGTGATTAACTGCAGGTCCTATATATACATATACAACAGGAAACAAGCAACATTTGTACGTGAACCAACCGGAGCTAGTAAAAGAAATGAACCAAAGTAAAAGCCTGGATTTAGGGAAGCCTTCTTATGTCACCAAAAGACTTGCCCCTATACTTGGTAATGGTATTTTGAGGTCTAATGGCCACATTTGGGCCATGCAGAGGAAAATTGTAGCGCCCGAATTCTTCATGGACAAGGTCAAGGTAATCGACGAAGAAAAGAAAATAAACAGAAACTTAATACTACTAATATAGAATAAATAATGGTTGGATTGGAAAAAATGAAACTTGAATACTATGAATTTACAGGGGATGGTGAGCCTGATGTTGCAATCAGCTGAGCTTTTGACAAGAAAATGGGATGAAAACATTGAAGCGGAAGGGAGTAAAATGGCGGAAATCAGCGTGGGAGAGGATCTGAGAAGTTATCTGAGAAGTTTTTCAGCAGATGTGATCTCAAGAGCTTGCTTTGGAAGCTCTTATTTCAAAGGCAAAAAGATTTTCTCAAAGCTTCGAACCCTTCAGAAAATCATATCAAACCAAAGTGTCCTCTTTGATTCTCCCGCATTGGGGTACATACATTCTCTCCCTCTCGTCCATATTATGTGCCTTTTAAGATTTTCGTATGTCTTAAACGAGTTTGTGTTTTTCTAAAACGTCAAATATTTGGGATTTGGACTATGTTATAGGTTTCTACCAAGTAGGCGGCAAAAGGAGATTGAGAACTTAGAGAAAGATATAGAGTCATTGATATGGGAAGCAGTGAAAGAAAGAGAAAGGGAATTCTTAGAGACATCCTCAAATGAGAAAGACTTGTTGCATTCGATACTCGAGGGAGCTATCAACGACGATAGTGTAGGCGAGAATTCGTCCAGGAAATTCATAGTTGACAATTGCAAGAACATATACTTTGCAGGTCATGAGTCCACTGGTGTTGCTGCATCATGGTGTCTCATGCTTCTGGCTTTGCATCCAGAATGGCAATCTCGTATACGTGACGAAATGGCTCAAATTTGCCCCGATGGCGTCCTAGATGCAGAGTCAGTCTCCAAAATGAAAATGGTACTCATCACATTTATCCTTCACTACTCAACCATATCATTCTAAATTACTAATATGTATTGAACTGTGTGACCATCTGGCCTAAAAACTTAAACTGTTAGAGAGGTTGCAGTTTTAATTACTTTTATGTCTCAACGATCAGTATATAAGAATTACACTTGATATGAAGGTGACAATGGGCATTCAAGAAGTGTTGTTTCTGTATCATTCTAAAATCAATTGAAATTGTATATACTGACTGCATAAAGAATTTTTACAATATCGATGTATTTCAGGTTATTAAGTCTCACTTGTTATAAATGGACAGTTACCTGTAGTTACTTTTTAGGTGACGTGCATAGAAGTTAAAGTCTTCTAAAATTTTGATTTGCATCTAATACTAGAACTTGATATGAAGGTGACAATGGTTATTCAAGAAGCGATGCGTTTGTATCCGCCAGCAGCATTTGTGTCAAGGGAGGCATTGGAAGATACACAGATTGGTCGCATTGTAGTGCCAAAAGGTGTATGCTTGTGGACTTTGATCCCAACACTGCATCGTGACCCTGAGATATGGGGACGAGACGCCAATGAATTTAAGCCAGAGAGATTTGAGAATGGAGTTTCGGGTGCTTGTAAATCGCCACAAGTTTATATCCCATTTGGACTAGGTCCTCGCCTCTGCTTAGGTAAGAATTTTGCGATGGTGGAACTCAAGATTGTGATTTCACTTATCATTTCCAAGTTTCGCTTCTCCCTTTCTCCAAAATACAAGCACTCGCCAGCTTATAGGATGATTGTAGAACCAGGCCAAGGAGTGCACATTGTTGTTGAGAGATTGAAACAAGGCTGACAATGGTTTATATGCTTTAGCATCAGCACACTCTTGCTCTTATTTCCCCCTTCTTTTTATTCCTTTCAGCTAGTGTTAAAGTGTAAATGTCGATGCATAAATGATTACATAGTTGTGTGATACTTAGATGAGTAGACTTTTTCCCTTGTTCACTAACATGAAAAATGGTCTCTGGATGGGATAGTGATTTTTGGATAGAGCATTGTCCTCTAATTGCTATATTCTTCTTTATAATAAAAAGTAGAGAATTAATAGTTCGTCGAACAAACTGTTTCCTATGTCATCACTTGAAAATAATCTCAGTTGGTCTTTTTGGTTTTAATTAGTTACCTAAAGATCCTTTTTACTTTCTAAAATATAGATATTCTTGTCAAGAGGAGCAAGACATTGCTGAACACAAGAAAAAGTGGAGAAGCTGGAAGCTAAAACCTTTTGAATCTATGTAAATTTTCACAGTAAATAAAAAAAATCATACATAGACTAGTAGTGTTAAAAAATTATAGTTATTCATCCATATTATCCACTAAAAAATAGATTGAATAATGAACATCTTAGAAATGAGTCAAATATGAATAAGATCCATATTATCCACTTAAAAAATGGATAACCAATGAGTTTAATTTTGACATTTGTAAAAACTCAAATTGGGGGTTCCAAAGATGATTGTATTCAAGAAGTCATGGATAATATGAATATCCATATTATCCGTTTTCGTGGAATATTGTTTGCAGTACAGGCATAAACCGGTGGATAAATTACTTTCGAGTGGACCCTGAGTTGTCATTGGAGATAATCAACTGATAGGGATATACTTCGTGAAAACATTTCCATACACATGATAAATAGGTATGGTGACGGAGAATCTCCTTGACGGATTCCTCTCGATGGTGTAAAAAATGGGGTACGTGTACCATTAATAAGGATGGAAGTGGAGGTAGTAGTAACACATGACATGATTAATCTAATCATAGGCAGCGGAATGTTGAAATAAAGTAGTATTTTCCTAATAAAAGACCATTCCAGTCTATCGAAGGCTTTTTCAAGATCTAATTTTAATAACACATAGTTAGACTTACCTTTTATTTTTCCAAAGTGATTTAGAGTTTCTTAAACAATTATGGCATTATCAGAAACTCTCTTACCCTGCTGAAAGCTTGTTTGCATTGGGCCTATTATTGAGGAGATGATTGGTTTAAGTCAGTTGACTAAAATTTTACTGATAAGTTTATAAACTGTTACATAGACTAATAGGACGATATTGCCGAATTGTATGTGCATGCCTGACTTTTGGTATTAGGCATAGGTAGGTCTGATTAATATTTGATGGGATGATTTTGGTATTGAAAATTTCATGGCAAAATTGTTTAACTTTAGTACCGACTTCATGCCAGTATTTTTTGTAAAAGAAGGGATGCAACCCATCAGGCCCCGGAGCTTTATAAGGTTTAAAGCTATGAAGGGCACTAGTAATTTAATTATCATGTAGAGGCTATTGCAGTGCTTGAAAAGCAGTATCACTTAGTAAACAAGAATTAGAGTTGTTGTGAGTGTTAAGGGATTGAGATTGATCAGTGGTAAATAAATTTTGGTAGTAGGTTTTAATTTGATGTTGGAGTTCATCTTGGTCAAAAGTCCAATTGCCAACGGAATCTTTTAGAGAAGTTATTCGATTTTTTCTTCGTCTATGAAGTGTTGACATATGAAAAAAAAATTTATTAGCGTCTCCCTCGTTTAACCAAGATAATCTAGATTTTAATTTCCAAAAGTTTTCTTCCAGCCGAAGAATGTTACTAAACTCTTGTGTTAATTGCGTTTCCAGATTTTAGAGAAAAACACTAGTTGGATAATGAATGGAAGATTGAATTCCTGTTAGTCTAGCTAGGATTTTTTTGCGATGAAATATATTTCCAAAAGTATGGTTATTCCATTTAGAGGCAGCTTCCTGGAAGTTACTAGTAGTATCCAGTAGGGTGGAGTTATTAGCCCAAATTTGACGTACTAGATGGGGAAATTCGGGGTGTGTAGCCCACATGGTTTCAAATCTAAAAACCTTATGAAGAAGAGGGCGCCTGGCTTCTAAGGTAATTAATAGAGGACTATGGTCCGAGTATGTTCTAGGTAGGTGTTGTACTGTGGCTTCAGGGTATAGAGTTAACCAATCGTAATTAGCCAAAAAACGATCCAGTCGTTCTAGAATGGTGTGACCATGTCTACGTTTATTAATCCATGTGAAACGACTGCCTTTAAAGCCCGAATCAATGAGATTACAATAGTTTATACAATTTGCAAATTGATCAGCTGAAGAAGAGGGCGCCTGGCTTCTAAGGTAATTAATAGAGGACTATGGTCCGAGTATGTTCTAGGTAGGTGTTGTACTGTGGCTTCAGGGTATAGAGTTAACCAATCGTAATTAGCCAAAAAACGATCCAGTCGTTCTAGAATGGTGTGACCATGTCTACGTTTATTAATCCATGTGAAACGACTGCCTTTAAAGCCCGAATCAATGAGATTACAATAGTTTATACAATTTGCAAATTGATCAGCTCTGTTATTTCTAATAGGTAGCCCTCCCAGTTTTTCTCTTGCACAAAGTATTTCATTGAAATACCCCCTATTAGCCAAGGAATAGAAACAGTGCCATGCAAGTGCATTAAACTATGCCAAAGATCATTGCATATTTGATAAGAGTTGCTAGCATAAATTGTTGAAAGTAGCCATTTAGGTTTAGTGGGACATACTTGGACAAGACAATGTATCTCTTGCTCAGACATCCTAAGTTCTTCCATAGTAATTAGAGCATCATTCCAAATTACAGCCAGACCTCCTATGAGACCATTAGCAGGCACTTGTGACATGTTAGTGAAATTGAAGGCTTCACAAAGCCTTTCATGATCTTGCATGTGAGTCTCTAAAAGAATAGCAAGGACTGGCCTATGGTTGTCTAGTAATGCCCTAAATTGGCGCCTAAACTCTGGATTATGGGAACCCCTGCAATTCCATACGAGAAAATTCATTATATTATTGGAGGGGTTGGCTGGAACTGGCTGAGTTGGCATAAAGGGAGTCACAACAGGAGTTGTTGTCTGAGCCTGAGCCAGGACTGGGTTCATCTGACAAAGGGTGGGTATTATGACCATGGCATATTTCCCCGCCTCGCGATTTGTTGTTACCCGAAAATTTAGACTGCATGAAGTCAGTTCTCGCGGGCATTTGAGTGTAGAACTTTTTTCCGAACTGTTTCTTGAGGTTGTAAAGCTGGATTCCTTTTAGCCATAAGAACTCTGTCCTTGTTTCCCTCATTTCTGCCAAGATCGCCGCTAACTCCTGCCTTGTTTGTGTGTCTAGTGCGTTTGGAGAGGGTGGTGGTGTGTGAGGATGGCTGTCCTGTGGAGAGAGTGTTTCTATAGGACTGCCCGGATTGGCATAGGGAGAAAGAGGATTGAAGGAGAGTAGATTCTGGAACCAAGGAGCATAAATCTACCCCATGTGGTGGGGAGGATAGAAGGGGAGCAGATTCATCATGGTTGGGTTCGGTGGAAGAGTTGGTGGATGCATGGGGTACGTCCAATGATGTGGGTTGGAGGAGGAGGCTTGATGCTCCAAGAATAGAGGGGTCTGGGTGTTGTACCACTGATTCTGCGCATAGGCTTCCATCCCTAGCCTCATCCCCTCCGTTACTATCTCTGCTAGGTGTGTGGTGTTTTGGACTAGGTGTATTACCTCTTGGTTGTGAAGCTCTAGTGTGAAAATTAATGCATACCCTTGGAGCCCCATCTCCAACCACGACTGTAGAGGGAGGTCCATCGTGTGTGGTTGAGAGGTGTAGATTAGAGGTGTTGTGATGTGTGGAAGTTGAGGACCCTGCATGGTGAGCCTCGGGAGATGGAAGAATTGGTTGTTTGTGCGATCCCTAAGGAAAGTGTTGTGGTGGTTGATTGGGAAAGATGGGCATTGCATTGTTTATGGAAGTGGAAGAAGATGGTGCAATAGAGGTAATTTCTTGAGTTTGTAATTGCTTCTTATCTGTGGTAGGTGTTATAAGGAGTTCTGTGTTGCAAATGGTGGTAGAGCAAAGAGAAGAAGAAGGAGGTGACTGTGAGTTATTTGGAATGCCAAGATGGTTAGCACATGGAGCGTAATCATTTTGCGTGCATGGGAAATGCAATGGACTAGTGTAGTGTTGGCTATTGGGTACTGTGGCATGCAGTTTACTGTTACTGCTGCTGAGGTGTAATATAGAGGAGGAGGAAATGTGGAGTGGATTATCTGTGTTGGCTGATAATTGGTCATTAGGAACTATATTGGGATGAGGTAGAAGAGAAATCTGATGTGGTGTATTGGCAGTAGGAGACGTATGTGGTTCTTTACTTCAAGGTAGATTTTCAGATGGTGAATTATTTGGTACTGCAGGAGTAGGGGTAAAAATATTGTCATTGGTGGAGCTGGGCTGTGGGTCTATGACCAATGAATAATTAGAATTACAGGCATTTGGCTGCCCAACGGTTGGAGTAGGTTGAATTTTTGGGCCAGCCCTTGTTGGGCTTGTGACATTTAGGTGTGTTAAATTCCATTTGATGATCCATGTCAGCTATGGCATGGAATTTATTTTGAATTTGTTTAGTGGGCCTTGTAAGGTCTGATTATGGAAGGCATAGTTGGGTTGTGGAAGGCCCAATAGGGTTAGAGGACTTACTTGGAGGAGAGTGCTACCCTGGTTGCGCCGCCATCTGTGCCGCCTTACCTGTGTTGTGGGACCAACGTTATATCGTTGTGTAGATTTCCTTGGGAAAGTGACGGTTTTCCACTCATTCTCCTATGGAGGATCAGTGTTGTTTGAGCTTGAATGATTATCCAGTTGCTTAGTGAGAATATTAACCGTTTTTGGTTGTTGGAAAAAATAGCAATTCCAGTGGCATGCGCAAAACGGCCACATTTTGGACACAATAGATTAAGCCCTTCATAAAGAAGAATCTGGTTATGGTGGCCTATGTGTATGTGTGTTTTTAGAGGTTTTTTTAGTGGAACCTCAATGCATATACGTGCATATCTTCCTCCCGTAGTAGTGGAGGTGCATGCATCCACCTTTAATAGTTGTCCCAACTTAGAGCCAACCTTGTGTAGTATTTCTTGGTCATAAAATTCTGTGGGAAGCTCTGGTAAGCGGACCCAAATTGCTGAGTAGGTTAGTTGTGTGGATGATGCTATGAATTTGGGTACCCATTTACGAACAGACAAAAAATGGTTTAAGATGAACCATGGGCCTCCATG